GACACGGGCAGCAGCTGTCAGACTCCCACCCCCCACCCTCCCTCTCTGAGAGCCCCTGCACCCTTCCCTCTCCTCTGCCCATCCCTTCTTTCCATGCCCTGCCCTGATCTGGGCCATCCGCCTTCCTCCAGCTACTACCCGCTTGAAAATCAGACCCAGGTGGCCTGCCCCCTGGATCCTGGCCCCCACCCAGATGCTAAAAACAGCTCTAGGACCTTGCGTTCTACTATAAACCCCTATAAAATAGAGAGCATGAGACCTGCCCCGCATGCTTTCCTTGGAACAGTGCCCCTTCCTGTCAGGGACCCACTGGGTCCTTGGACAGTCATGCTGTAAATCCAGCGGCAACGCACCCTTGGCCTTCTCAGATTTAATGTCCAAGGTTTGGCTCCTTGGTGAGTGGAGGAATTTGTCACTGAGGCACAGGTTTTATTTGGGGCCTTGGAGCTGCTGGGCTTCTGTACAGAAGCGAGGCATCACCTAGTGAGTGAGCCTAGCACTCCGCCAGCTTCAGGTTCCTGGTGCCATTTTTGGTTTTCTCTACCACCTGTCGGGAAATAGTAAACCTCCTAAAGTCCTAAACACTCGGCTTGTCAGAAATGGTTCTGAAAGGAGAGCCAGCAGCTAGAGTTAATGACCGAGGGAGAAGCTAGCAGAGCGGCCCCAGAAAGTGGCGGTCCTAGGCCAAAATCACTTTTGGTCCCATTTGGTGGAGGGCTGGGCCTCTGATGTGACCTCACCCACCGTAAGCTCTGGCTATGTATTTTGGGTGGCAGACCTCCCTGAGCAGTGGAGGGAGCTCTCTCTGTGCCCTCCCTGGGAAAATGGCTGTCAAGACCCACAACACGGTGCATTTAATTACAGGGTTTCACAACTCCTTGTGTTGCTCGTGGACCCCAGATTAAGAACTCACAGCCTTAGGGGCGCCTGGGTGCTCAGTCAGTTAAGCCTCCAACTCTCGATTGTGGCTCAGGTCATGATCTCGCGGCTTGTGGGTTCGAGCCCCGCGTCAGGCTCTGTGCTGACAGCTCAGAGCCTGGAGCCTGCTTTGGATTCTGTGTCTCCCTCTCTCTTTGCCCCTCCCCTCCACTCTCTGTCTCTGTCTCTGTCTCTCAAAAATAAAGAAACATTAAAAAAAATTTAAAAGAAAAGAACTCTCAGCCTTGGAAGGAAACAAACAGTATCCTGGAAATTCTGGGGGCCTGTTCCTCTCATGCAATAATTACTTGTGGATGGAGCTAGAAATCTGGTGAATGTTGAAGAGGAGATCAATGTGTGTGTGTGTGGGGGGGGGGAGAAATACACAGGAAAACTCTGGAAGTGTTCATGGAAGTGGATTGAGGAATGAGCTAGAAGCCTTTACAGACCCTTCCTCAGAGAAAAACGTGGCACAGGCACCGATTCTGTACAGAGCCGACCTTTCCCGAGAGGAGAGGGTGATTCAGGAATTTTAAGAAGCGTTTTTTTCTTTGCATGGTGCAAACCCTGTTGGTAGAAAATGCCTTTGGGAGCCATCACCTGCGAGGAAATGGAAGGACTGGGGTTACAGGCAGCCAGCCAAGGACAGGCTAGCCCTTTGTCCTTTGCACGGCATGTGGTCTGGTTTCGTGATGAATCTGGATTCACTCTGCTCCTCCGTGAACCCTAGGACATAAAGGTGCTAAGCTAAGACCTTCCTGCCTATGTATTTGCCATTAATCAGAACCAAGGGGAGTAAGTGCTTTGGAGCGTGGTGATTCCGGGCATTGAGGACCAGCCAGAGGTTCGTGACCGTGGTGAGCACCTGGGTTCAGCGCATGCGCAGGGGGACATGGGCACATCGACAGGGGACTGAGTTGCTTTGCTTTGGAGTGCTGGGGAAGGAGCTGCCACGGGGAGGGTTCCGGAACTGGCTTTCCGGGACTGCGGGGCTCACCAGGTGAGGCGGTGGGCCAGAAGGGGGGGTGCACGGGCCAAGAAATGCAGGGTCAAAGGTGCGTGGACAGTAGCGGGATCCCGCGGCTGGGCAGGGACAAGTGATTCAATGTGGCTAGAACACGGTGTACTTTCGAGGGGGGTCTGAAAGACCACGGCACGAGCACAAAGCACGGCTTCAGGATTAGAAGGACTATGGCGGAATGTCTGGTGGCAGGGCTGCTACTTTCAAATAGGGCGTTTCCAGTTTCTTTAAGTGGCCTGCGACTGGGGCCTCACTTCCATTGTGTGTGTGTGTGTATGTGTGTGTGTGTGTGTGTGTG